ATATATATATATAAAACCCTAATAGCAATAAAAAATATTATTTAGGAAAAGTATAGTCTTATAAACGAATATTTTTCTTTGATTTCAATCAACTCTTATTATATACTATATACAGATTTTGTTAAAGACACTGAATTTCTTGCTCTTTATGCGAATTCGATTATATAGAATAGGGTAAAGCACAAAATCCAAACTCCATAGTTTTGAAGTAACAATTATATACCAGATCTTAGTGGCAGAGTTTATGAAAACAGAGTTTGTTCATTTGATAAATCGCTAATAAATATAAAGAGGTAGTTTCAGAAATAGACTCGAAGAAATAAAACATATTAATCGCGTTTGTTACAAATCGACTCACAATGATTATTGTCCGGCAGTAATATTATTTTGTGATTTAGTGTGAAATAAAGCGATATGTAGAAATGCATATACAGAAAAAGTAGTATCTTATGTGATTACTGTTATATCAGCATATAATAAAACGCAACTGACACTGAGATGATATATATAGAAACGGGTGTTCACGGCCGATGGGAGGCACGTATATATAAGAGAGAATCGCGCGCTTATTAATCTCATTATTATGACGACATATATATATAACACGAAATGTTTTACCATGTTCTCGATTCTCTCATTATTGTCTTATTAAGCTTCATGATCACCACTATCTATCCCTATTAAGGATTCCGTTTGCTCCGCTTCAAGATCTGGAATCCTGAAAATATTTGAAATATCAGTTTCTCGTGTCTTTTATATATATAATATATGTATAAGACACAGACACATACGCGCAATATTACAATTATAATCATAATTAGTTTATGTTTACATTATTGTTATCATAACTTGATTAATGTATTGCTCATTTATGCGACATATATTTTACCTTGTAGATCTGTTTTTTCTGCAAATCCAGATAAAAAATCTTTTCATTAAGTTCATAACAGGATCCCAATTATCATAATAAGAAAAAAGGGACACTGCTAGAAATGCCAAGAACATTGGAATGCTTCCAAAGTAGAAAATACAGGGATATTCAACTTTTTTCAAGAGGACATCAGCTACCATTGACATGGGCATTGTTAAGCTTACAGCCATTGTCGCTACAAGAGACGATGTCAAAAAGCAACCCCTATGGATATAATTATAGAATATATACAATCATATTATATAAACTTATGAGTTATATATGCAATAAAAGTACGTTACAAAAATCTACTGAAATTACCACAGCCAAAGAACTTCATTTAGAACTGTACCAATCAGGCCGTTTATAATTAGGAATGTCCATTGGTGACTATTGGGCCATTCAAACTCTTCCCAATGACCATAATGAAGGATAAAAAAGAAAGGCCACAAAAGAGTTAAATTGAATATCCCCACAAAACCAAAAAACATTGGTATATCCATTTTATCCTCATGATCTACCTTTCTTTTTAAAAATACGACATATGCAGCATAGAAAAAAGCACTGACTAGAGCTAATATTATGCCCAATGACTTGCTATTGTTTTCTACAGTCAAATCTGAGATGCCAACTAATATCTGTAAATAAAAAATAATATTTTTCGAGATATATTACATAATAAATGCGTGCATCAACTGAAATTTTTTGTTTTTAATGCTAAAAGAATATATGAAATCGATACAAATCGAATTTTATCTCTAAATTGGAATCCTTGAATAAATTTGCAACTTACTAGTCCAACGAGGCTAACAAGTACAGCAGCTAACTTGGATAGTGTAAACTTATCCCCTCCATTACTGGGAAAGAAAGCAGCGAGAAGTAAAGTAAATAAACTAGATGTTGACGACAATACAATCACAATTTTATCTTCGATTTGCTTCAATGATATCTGGTATGTGTAATTTGCTATGAACCACTGGAAGAAGACAATATTAATGATATATGTGTAATGGCAGTGGAATATTTTACTCGACTGAATTTTACATTATGTTACCCACAAACAAGCAGAACATAAGGGCTATTTTAGCCACTTTTTGTACAGAGAATTTGTTAGCTTGCCGTCTCGCGTGTTCTCCGGCTCTAACGCTGGCTTGATAGCTAAGCCGTGCTAATAGAGCCTCTGTAGCATCGCTTTCCGACATATGGCGCACCTCAGCTAGTTTACTAAATCTTACAGAGCGGATAGACGAATCGTCACTTTCCGTACCCGATGAGCGATCACAATGATCGGGAGTTTTTATTGGAACAAATGTTGGATCGCTCTACAATAAAAGGAATTTTTAGTCTTTATTAGATCAGTAGCCATAAATTATTTTTATCTCATATCGGACAAATATAATTTACTTTATTGATATAATTGAAACACTTTCCCCCAATTCAATTCACAAAAAGTGTCCTCATTAAATATAATGCATATGTAATTATTATTATTGTTATTTTTGATATATGAGATAAAAATTTGATATACGAAAACAGATTATATTTATAATAATTTTATACTTACTAGACTCGTATTAGCTTCCACATAGAAGTTGTCATCTTCGATATTAGGATCTATGAACTGTAAACAAACAAAAGATATGGAAGCTTTAAAGTAGCATAAAGGAAAAAAGAGTGATATTTTATGTAAATACATGTATTCTAATAAATACCATGTATGTTGCAGGTCTATTACATTGTTCCCGCCAAGGTGGCCAAAAGCATAGGCCGAGCAAATAAAAGGTAAACATAGATGTCCTTATATATGTACTAAAAAATGGTTTTTCAAAGGTTGCATCCCTGTAAATATACTGAAAAACAGGATATATTATTACTATAATTTTCTGTTGTAATATAATAATAATTTTTGAGTATTTAAAATTTTTGAGAAGTTAAAAAAGTAGTTGGTAATTGCAGATAATAAAGATGAATATGTAAAATAATTATAGAAAAAGGTAAAGAATGGGGAAAGCTTGTAAACGTATAAACAACTTTTATCTTACTTTAGTAAGCTCACAGCTTGACACCCAAATTATGTCAACCAGTAACAGAATTAAAAGTCCCAATATGAGTCTCTGAGATTTGTTCATCATCGCCGCGAGTTTATGAGGATCCTCCGCCATCCCCTGTTGCCTACGCTGGCGTAATTCTACGGAACAGCTCATCCTATCTTAGTCTCTTCTTCTCATAACATTGCATTTGAATACTTGTTCCCTGTAAAATTATGCAATATTTTTTTTGGTCTCATGTCACAATTAGACACATAAAATTGACGTTAGAATTTTAAATTAAAATATATATTAATTACAATTTCTTTTTCTCTCCCTCGCCAATTGAAACTGCATAATAATAATAATAATAATAATAGTTACCAGACGGAAAACATGAAAGCCGACTTCACGCACTAATGCATTTACTATCTCTATGTCGAAACACAGAATGCGAAAACGGCAAGTGTGAAGCAAGATTCGTGTTAACAGGTGTCAAGGAGCGATAAGCAAAATTCTTCTGATTCCCTTAACGTCACACCGACGAGATAACCTAACCCTAACCAGCTGTTTACGGCCCCGGTTTTAGCCGATGTCGATTTCACATTACATTGTCTCTCGTTGTGACGAGCCTCGTATCAGTTTCTGTAACTTGTACATCTCCCGAGAAAGAATATCACGGAATTGTCAGTTGTGTATCGCAACACACTTGAATTCGTACGTACATATATATACATATACATATATACGATAGCTGTACGAGCTAACGTGCGTCGCAGCATCCGTCGTACATTATGCAGCGCTAGTGATAAGAGATGCGTCAGTGTTATCGCAATTTGATAACACCTCGTAGCAAGTATCGCGATATCGTTGTCAACGCGTGTAGTGTTTTTCGCCCATCTTCTCCACCTCACTTGTATCATTGATTTTCAATAGATTTCGCGCACAGCTGATTACGCTAATCGATCTCTTTCAATATTTCACGTATTGTATATCGCACTCATCCGGATTAGATAATATTCAAATCGTAATACATTTGGCGCCGCGAATCTGAAGCAGCAATGTTGATATGACATATGACAAGTTGGTATAGAGCCGGTTTGATCGTGCATGCGCGGGAATGCATTAGATCTATTCGTTTTGTTGCACTCCCTAGAATTTTCTGCACTTGAAAAACGGGATACATAAATATAATATATATACATATATACATATATATTTGTGAAAGAGAGAGAGAGAGAGAGAAACAGCGAAGAATGTAGAAAATGAGTGTAGAAAATGTAAACAAAATGACACAGACTTACTATTAATAAAGAAGTGACACCCCTTTGCACCACGTGCTGATTGAACACAAAATGTGTTGATTGGTCAATTGCGTTTAGTGTAATGAAAATATCTAAAGTACCACTAGTCAATGAGTGATCGTGAGTGATTGTGTGTGTGTGTGTGTGTGTGTGGTGCTAACACTTTTGAAGCGTTGATTAGTGAGCAATAGTAATATTTTTATTATATACAATACATGATGTATAAATGTGGAAAATGTGGCTTAAACAAAATGAAGATTCCTCGTTTAAATACAAGTCGGAAATTTTTTCATACTTATGGTTTTTGAGAAAATTAGCTTTGAAGGTCCGTCTATGGTACGTATGCATTTGATTTAACAAGACTAGGATTATATTCATGAAATTATCCGGTTACCATGGCGATAGAAAGCGATACAATTCTCTTTTCTTCTAATAACATTGAGAGGAGTTAAAGGACAAGCGCAAAAGCACAGGAAACAAAAACAGAACTATATACCGTTATATTATTGCAGTTAAATTATTGCAAGAGGAAATAATGGCAAATGAATGGCTCAGCAACGGTCGTTTACAGGAAAATACTGTTGTACAACGGACGAGAAACGACAGAGGCAAAAGAGGTATCGCGAACATTGTTAGCATTAAAAATATTAATGTGTACGTGACGAAAGCTCGAATAACTCGATGAGCGATCGATCGATTTTAGAATAATTATGCGCGTCACGTCTCGATCTCTTTATTAGAAATATATACAAACATTATTATTTTTCTTACCGTTTTTTTTTTCTGTCGTCTCTGTATACACACGTAGCTCCGGATATAGCAGCTATAGAGAATCGCAATTGGCTATTACATCGACATTATACGAGACACGAGTACAGTGCTTGCAAGCTACTAATCGAACAAGAACTAATGAAATCGGATGGTCACGAATACGCCAGTTATTTGAAGGTGAGATCGATTGTGATCGATACAGTAAAGAAGGTGATGCCGACAGTAATCGATACAAAAAGGAAATTAGTACAATCGTTATATACTTGCTATTATTACATGATATAAATCACAAAAGTTTTCACAGAACTATTCGGGGAATGATTACTAATTAATTAAGGGAGGGGAGGGAAAAGGATCAAGTTTTTATTCGTGAAATTTATAAATCTCTTTTCTCTCAGAAACAATTACGACATTTTTCCTCTTGTTATGTAATACACGACACGTATTTACAAATCGTTTTATTTTCGTAGGGTTTAATTCTCAGAAAAGAAGGCAAAATTCAAGATTCACTAGATTGTTTTCAAACCGCGTACAATGTGAATTCGACTAATGTCGATAACGTTAAACAGATAGCGAATTCTTTGTAAGTAATATCGATTAAAAGAGGATTGTCTATAGTTTGATGCACGATACGTAATAATACCGTTGCGCTAATTTAGATTAATAATGGGAAGTCATAGGCGTGCGATAGAAGCATACACGGAAGCTGAAAAGATATCCGCTGTACCGGATTGGGAAATATATTATGGTCTTGGCAAGTTCTCTTCATAACTCACTTTACGGCACGATACACTTCGCGTAGCGCGTATTAGCCAAGTTTTGCAAACTTCTGGAGAAATACACTCAGGAAACGCTACTTTATTAACGATAATACACTTGGATGCACTTTGCATTCTCTTTAGCTTTATAATCTGTATATAATTTTGCACACGCTTCTTTATACAATTTTCCATCACGCAATCACACATACATATTTTTGGCGTAAAGTATAGCGATGCTTTGTTTTTGTCGAACATTTATTTTATTGTTTAGGCGAGGCTTACGTGAAATTGAATCAATTACAAGAGGGTAAGAAGCATTTCAAGAAATCAACCGAATTAACGAAAAGTGAGTTGCCCAATCTTGCCCTCGCAAGACTTTATCTCCTAGATGATATGATTCCAGAAGCCAGAAATGCTTATACGGCAGCTTTGAAGTAAGTAACACATCATCAGCTGTATGTCGTGCAAAGATTCTAGAAATGCGGTTTTGATTTCGATGCGGTATGGATTTGATTGAGTCAATAGTATTTATTATTATTTATTATTAATATAGTAATTTCCGATCGTTTCTATTATTCTTCTTTTCTCTTAATATGCTTCTTATTTTCTCTATCGCGAATGTATTTTCTTTAATATCTATGTTGACTCGATATTAATCTCGGTATAATAATCTCTTGCTTTCGTTACGCTCAGCGCAAATCCCGAAAGTATCGATGCAGCGACAGAATTGGGCCTTTTGTATCTCAAAATTGGAGATATGCAACGAGCATTTCAGCAATTTGGAGCGGCATTAGCTTATTCGCCTAATTGCGTTAAGGCGATTTTGCCCATGGCTTACATAATGCAGGTGCATAAATTCATTAAAAAAAACAAAAAACCGATTTTCTCTTTCATCATCCCTCTTTAATTAGCAAGCAATTTCAATCAATCGATTTGCATTCATACTCGTTTTAATTAATTTTTAAATTAATTTTTGATTCCTTAAAATCTTTCTATTTTTTTATTCCTAAATGAAAGTTTTATTTCATTAAACGCGATTTTTACAATGTTATTGCATTACTTTACTAACGCAAGTAGTTAAAAGGCGTATATCACATTTATTAAATGGAGATTTCATTATCCTCGCGTTCCTCGCATGCAGAATTTTCTCCTGCTCTCTTTAAATAGCATATCTTCCTTAAATAGCGTATTTTCCAGAATCATCGAGATTACGATGTGGCTTTATCGAAGTATAAAGTAGCAGCACAAATCATTCCGGAATCTTCGGCGCTTTGGAATAATATCGGAATGTGTCTTTATGCAAAACAAAAATACGTTGCTGTAAGTAAATCCATCTATCCTTTTCTTTCTTTTTTCTTTCCGTCTTTTCCTCTTATTTTCAGCAATAACGTCTATTAATTAAGAAAAAAAGCTTAATAGTTCATATATTGATGTTTGAGATAGTATACTATATATTCTATGAAAGAGAGAGAAATTTTTATTTTTACGTTTTTCCGTTAGTATTACTCAAATGGATAGTGTGTAATATCATCCATTTGATACTATTATCCATTTAATACAATCAATAGTGATCTAATTACTAAAAAGTCTGTAACCTGATATTTGCAGCAGATATCAGTACTTTGACACAGAGAATTATACATCGTTTTACATTTCGCGTAATGCTAAATGATGCAATGCAGAATTATTTTGGGGAGGGAAAGACACAGAGAGAGAAAGAGAGAGAGAGAGAGAGAGAGAAATATGCCACGCGAGTTACAAAATCGTTTTGAATCATGATATAAAGAGAAGCAGAGAGAAAACCTCTTGGGAATACGTCGAAATTAAGTGGGAAACCGCAGTATTGCACTGCACCATAGCACATTGATAACATATTCTTGTTTAACGGGCGGTAACTATACTTCAGACAACGTTGAGAATATGAGTTAGAAAGCGAGATTATATCGTGTCGGTTAACAGAGAAATAATTTGTTTGCAAATTTTCACTTAATAATGGAAACTTATTTTCATTATTAATATCATAGTGAAACAATATACAAATTACTTACTATATTTGATACATAAAATTCATTGTAAAATTGAGTTCGTTAAAATAGAATTGCATTATTATATATTACAAGCTCTATTATAGATAAAATTGCATTCATTATATATTATTTATATTGCTAAAAATAACGATTAAGAAGAAAATATTTAAATTAGTATTAAGAGAAATAAAAGTGAAAGTTTCTTTTATTTCGTAGGCTATTAGCTCGCTGAAACGAGCACATTACTTAAGTCCGATGTCCTGTGTCCCGTCGTGTAATCTCGGAATCGTTTTTCTCACCACTGGACAGCCTGCATCCGCCGCGATTTACCTATGCGCTGCGGTCAGCGCCGAACCAAAAAATCCTACACCATACTTGTTATTAGGTCGTAAGTAGAAAAAATGTTGAACATTTAACGATATATATAAAAATAGCTTTCCACATTGAGTCATGTTTTCTGTATAAAAATAGCTCTTGTTTTTACGCGAATCTTTTTTCTCTAATGAAATATTGCTCGAAAGCATTTCTTTTATTCACGGATTCTTTATAGAATTTCTTTTTTTTATATCTCAGTGACTCTGAAACGTTTGGATGATCTGGAAGGTGCCGAGAAATCCTTGACGAAAGCTCACGCTCTAGCTCCTCAGGATCCACTGATATTGATTAATTATGCCGTGGTTCTCGACGCTCGTGGTAAACAAACTAATGCTACTGAAATCTTGACAGCTCTCAACGATATTATGGCTGTTGTTGACGTTGATACGCAGGTAATTTAAAAGTCGAAACTTAAAAGCGGAATATATAGCATGTTAATTATATATGATTATACCGTTATATCACGACATATACAGATATCGCAAATGGCGAAAAAGTTATCAAAGAAATTGCAACGTGAAAAGACGAAATTAAATACTAATCAAGAACTGCCAGCTGAAGAGAGTGAAGAGCGACAATTGAGCGCTGATGAAGTTTAAAAAGTACATTTTTCTCTCTCACTCTCTCTCTCTACAGACTTAGAGGATATCCATATTATATCTATATAAATTTTGGAAAAAATCTAACAAAATAATATTTGTTGAGACATTATCACATTTTATATTTCTATTACAACGTGTTTTACACACAAGTGAGGTACAGTAGATTAACAATTAACGACGCACGCAGGATTTATTTCTTATTCACATGTTACTGGAAAAGGTACACATATTTAACAAGATGAAATCACAGAATCAAATATACACGCGTGTATACATAGTCAATAATTGCATGTCAATGCTTATTACATTTATTTATTTAAGCTTGCATATACATACACGCATCTAATTATATAATTAATTGTATTAACAAGGTTATAACAATTTTTATTAGAGGGCATTATAATATTATGCAAGCGATATATATTTTGATTCTGCTGATTTAAAATATTTTTTTTTTTATCTGGATGGATTCAAGATCATTTTTAACTTTTTATTAATCATATGATGTTATATATTTAATAATTATAATTATATATATTATTATAATTAGATTGCATGCTCAAATTTTACTTTCGAAAAACAGAGAGAGAACATTCCAAAAATCTCTTGTGTTAAACATACGTGCTTTGTACATCGGTTTGGTGTTGGTTCAGCGTTGGCCAGTTGCTTATAATCCTAGGTTTGAATAATTGTCCAAAAATCATACGAAATTGCCGCGACATAAAGCAATATAAGATAAAATTTATGCTGCCGTTTAATAACGCACAGATATCCATCATTTCCCCAAACCTGTGATAACAATTACGAAAAAAACAATCGCCCAGAGCCGCGGAAAGTAAACCCAGAACGCCTTGAGGAATCTCCGTTATTAGGAATAGCAGTAACACCGCTACAAGCATCCTCGTTGTTCTGTCCGTTCGTTTGTCAGATTTACTCACCCGTCGCGAGCATTCGTCTTTTTTAATATCAAACGATATATCGTAATTCTCGAGATCGGAGATTCCCGATGATGAGGTTGGTTTAGCCACTTTCGCGCAATGGTTGTAGCTCTTCAAAATTTGTTTCCTACCCTTTGCCCTGAATCGAGTAAAATATTGAAACGTATAAAACGTGCGTAATTATGTATGTTAATAAATAATCTGTTCTACTTTACCTATAAAGGGCTTTTATCAGCCAACAAATGATGATAGTAAGAAGGACACACGGTAAGAGCTTAACAACTACACTAAGTATCCAGAAATTTAATTGATACAGGAATTCTTTATCAATAGAATCGGTGTCCACGTGGTACAAGATCTCTTTGATACCGTTCTCATAAATGATCTTTGTCTTTATCTGACATAATGAAATTTAAGTTTATTGCAAGCGCAGCTGCGAGAATTCGAATAAAATATTATAATTAATGTTTACTCACTCCAAATACAAAATAACTAGGAGCGCAGGCGAGAAACGGAGCGAGGAAACTGCACAAGAGAGCGATCGTGCAACGTCTATCGGTGCACCAAGTATAATTGTAACGCGGAAATCTAGTGCATATACACGAGAGAAACAGACATAAAACAATAACTTTCTAATCTTTCTACATTTGAACAAAATTCAAAATCATGAAACTCACCTGATGGCGATGTATCTCCAAACGGCTAAAGTGAGTGTGAGAGCGATACTGATCGTATGAAAAAGCTGCGTGAAATGCATATGAAACAGTACGAACACAGCCCATCCATACGGGAAGATTCTACGCTCCGGTAATAAGAAATATTTATAAATCGCAAAAGGAATGTACTCCAACATCACCAACGCATCCGTCACGGCCAGGCCGGTGAGAATTCGATTTATGGATGCCGCTTTTGTATCTTTCCTTGTAAGGACGACGATATTGAGCATATTGGTGAGCGTGCCGAAAGAGCATATGATAAGGGAAGCGTAACCGTGATAATTCTTATACTGCGTCGTCAGATCGCGAATCGCATCGTTACAATAGCACGTCAGTATTGTTTCAATACAGTCGTTTTTACAATCAGTAAAGTTGCCAAATTGACCGAAGTACTTGCCAATCTCCTCATCAGTCATATTCAGGTTATATTCACGGATAATATCCGTGATATTCTGCAACTGATACATAATCGACATACTCTTTCTCTCCCGAGTCTTCAGATATCTCGATAACTCGGATGTATTCGAGGGTATCCGGTACCAGTTGTAAACGCTCTCGCTCGTAAGCATAACAACGTACCATATTCTATTCCATTATCTAACAATAAGCATATTTGCATCGTCATTTCTGATATAGCTGAAAATACTTGCGACGGTGGCTGTATCACTTATGTAGCGACGTTACTCTTTTCTCTTCCATTTATAAACAGCTAATATATCTTTAATTCGTGAATAATTATGTTCTACGATTCAAATTAAGCGATTCATTCGGATGATGCAACTTTCTATGTTCATTCATCGAGATTATTACGAAATAAAAAAAGAAAGAGAGAGAGAGAGAAAAAAAAAGAAAAAAGTCTTGTCTATTCAAAGATGGATTGACGCGTGACAGTTTTCGTCAGAATTTAATTAAATCGAGATGAGTGATATTACAACAATCCCCATTTTTGCTGAGTAAATATATCTTGCTGGGTTACTTATTTCTTCAGAAAAGTATCTCTTTTTCGCTCATTTTTCGAAAAAAATCAGAATCTGAAAAGAAAAAAAAACGATACCTTGAACGTATATTTTATACATTTGTAAGGGCAACGAACTCGAATTATCTTACGTACGTACACACATACGCGGACACTTACACATATAATGCGTCGAATAAATCGAATGTGAACATTATACCATTAGTAACTAAGCACTTTATAGCATTTGTCGTCCGAGATTTCCCACGGCAACAGGTTACACTACCACGAGTAAATCCAGCCGGTGGATAGTCACGCTACTGACGATGTTATTGGCGAAAATTCACGAGCATCCTTCACTCCCTCTCGACGTTTTCCTCTGATGTTGTGAAAGAGCCTGCGCGCAGGACGTCGATGGTCCATAATGGTGTGTGTATATCTATCCATCCTGAATATACCCATGAAACAAATGTGCGCGTTCGGTTCATGTTATAAGATATATGTGCTAATATGATTAAGGATAACTAATGTAAAAACAGTATATATAAATGTGTGGGTACAATTTCATCTTTATTTCGATCTTTCTTTTTTTCATAATCACCGATCGATTATATACCTTTATTCGGTATTACAACACGTTTGTTTATAGCGTGTATGTAATAATGATGTTGATATAAAAATGTTAGCACTGTAACGCCCTATATCTTGTGTTATATTGTGTTATATCACATTTTATATTTGCAGAATACAAAGACGAAACTGCTATTAGATCAGATTGCTACTGGATTCATTGAGATTTACTATAATAATTTGCTTGTAATTGGGGGAATTGGAATGTGCGGAAGGAAACAGGAGCGTGAAAGAAGAGAACTTCTGCTTTCTTCATATCTTTTGTACTCCGCCTGCATACTCTTGCAATTTTGTTCATGGAAAAAGAAATTTCGCGGAAGAAAGGAGAACTAAAAAGAGAAGGAAAAAGGCGTGGCTTTATCCATGTTTGATGACTAGCGCGTAAATTCCGAGTTTGATCTTTCGGTGCGCGATAACGATCGGCCTTTCAGCCAGCCTTTCTCGTGCAAAAATACTATCGCAGATACCAATAGCCCTATCAGCAGCATGTAAAACGATGACTGCACATCGGATAGACTGAATGGCACGAAGTCACTCATTTCCTTTTCGTTCTCAGTTAGTTTTTTTCGTTTAGTCAGTGCCTTTTGTTGACTAGTGTAACTTTCAATGTCCTGTTTGCTCCACAAGAGTGTTAAACCACCTTGATTCAATCGACCAATCCACGCATTTATTCCCTGCTGCAGAATCGAATGTTTGGGCAGCAAATACGATAAGAAGAATGCACCTAATATAAGATGCGATATTAATATGTGTATGTGAAAAGACTATTATTACGAGTAATCGTATTGCGCATTCGAGTATTGCGCTCTTATCTTTACGCGCAACATTCCTACCTGGACACTCTTTGACAAGATGAAGCAACGGTCCACCGTCCACATCGATGTATTTCGCGTTGAGACCGGGGAAATTATTTTCCTTGATAAATCCCGAACCATTTCGGTAATAAGCCGCGTCGTCTATGGCGACGGCGTTTTCGCCGTATCGTAATTTACCTCGCAAGTTTCGCATGATTGTCGAATTGTTATCATCGTCAAAGAGGTCAGTTAGAGCGATAGAGGCCAATGATATCACCAATCCCGAAGCGTCGAGATCGCGAAGATTCTCAATGTCCGGGTAATACATGTCATGCGCGAAACTGTTGTATAAAATACCACTGAAGAGACCAGTCATAGTGATGTTGGCGAGAAGAATGCCCGACAGTAATATTCTTTCAGCATTCGTGTTTGGCAATTTTTGGGGGCAACCGGCGTTTAATAAAATCAATCGGTAGATCGTTGTCCAGAGACTTACTTTTTTCATTCTGAAAACATGAATGTGTCTTTTCGCTTACATTACATAGATAATTAATGTCACTGATATTTTGATGAGTATCATACTTTGTTGGAATGAAGGTCTGCAGAAAATACCATGTTATATACACAAAGACCTGCACCAATATTGAACAGATCCAAACCGAGCGCGGAAAGAAGTAATATAGTCGAAGCCCCTTGGGTATCTTCATCGCTTTAGGAACAATTACGCATATCTTGTCGAAGTCTATATATACGCTGAAGTTTATGTCCTCTTCAGCATTATTGCTGTATTTCTTTACGAAAAAGGACTCGAAGCAGATGTCCGTTCTACCATACATTACATCGCCTGTGTAAGCTGGCTATTATCGTGTGACAATCAAAAGAGAAACGGAACAAAAACAAGAGGAACTATACTAGGCGCGAATAGTTCCACAAATATATATTGTTACAAAGTACCTATAGCACCAACGTACGTCCCATTGGATAACTGACGACCGAAGGATTTATTATCTGTTGGATATATCGATCTTGTTGTGAAATTCATACGTTGAGCTATCGTATCCAGTATTATTTCGTCAAGTCCTTGGAAAACATCGGTATTATTGTCATATTTACTTAGTACAACTTTCGCCTGTTCACTTGCCTCTTGTGCAGGAGAGAATAAACCCATTTTCAATTCGTATCCATTCATATTATTTGTTCGGTAGTAAGTGAAATGAGATATCAGATTCGACGCCTGTTCTGCCGTTTTTACATTTATAATTTCGATTTGACCATACGCTGAAAAATTAAGCCAATATTTTCTTATGTCTTTTTATAACAGAGGATATACAAAGATTAAAGAATAATTGTATCGAGAGTAATCTCATCACGATATCAACATATGTCGGTTTTATAATATCTAAGATCTACGAACCAGAATCGTTGACTTTAGCGAACGGATTGTAAGAGCGAATAGCTCGATCAGTTTGAGTGTCATTTACGACAGCGATCGTCTCGGCAACCAAGATGCCTTGCACTTTATGTTTGGTCCATAATGTCTTTAAAATTCCATCAAGCTTCGACTTGTTTAGTACTTCCTCTCGGCAAGCAATCAGTACGATAAATCGATCGTGCGGTTTCCATTCAAACCTCGAACCATCTTTTGAAATTTGATCGAAAGCGTGGATGTTCTTCGGAAGAATCACGTGTACATTCCACGTGTCCTCTCCAAAAGCTTTATTGTTTTGAATCCTTTCAATTTTCGCGGACGTTACTCGAAAGGGAAATTCATCGTCGGATGTATTAATCTTCCAAATCGATGGCCGTTTCGCGATCTCGTGAGTTACGTCATTATTATCGACAAAAGATGTGTTTTCCGAGTCAGGAAACGTGTAAGTCCTCAATATAGTCGTTATCGCGCATTTACGCTCGATGCTGCGTACGAAAGTCTCAAAGCATGGTTCTAAAAGGATAGAGCTCCTATTGTTATCAACGCCGTGAAAGTGGACGATTTTAGAATTTTCCACAGAACATATGACGCTGCTCCAAAATTCGACAGCGCGACACCATTGACAATCATTACTCGATAATGAAGGCAGAAATATTAATGTTATGAGGGCAAACTCACGAATCAACTGCAAATAAGAGTTGTTTGAATCAATACAACGAGAGACAGAGAAAGAGAGCGAAAGAGAGAGCGAAAAAGAAAATTTCATAAGCTCTTTTATCGTAATAACAAATGTATCGACGTACCATGTTTGCGAACTTTATCAAGGTGGACGAGTGTTCCCTTATTTGTACGATTTAACACTGACATCGGATCCTCCGAAATTTTTCCTCACATCGAGTATTTTCGTTCGATATATACAGTCAAGTCATATATTACTCATCCTTATCGTTACCCTTATTGACCCTCCTTCTCTCGGCTATCGTGTCACATTGGACAGGTATGTTTTCGATCGTGAAGGTTTCAACTCATATACTTGTTTGTGTGTGTATACAAGAATCGTAAATATATTGTGTTTTTTAGATTATAGATAAAACCTGATGAAGATAAGCCTATCGTCTATATTATTTATCATTTTTCCAATTCGTTGAGAGCGTCATAAAGTCAATCGCATTTTTCTTTATGTCGACTCTCATAAAATATTTCTAGAAATTTACTACAACTAAAATTACATTGAGAAATAAATGGTAATATTAATATAAGAAGATGTATATATTTTACATATTTCACAACTGAATTATTGGCGAAATTCAATACGAGATAAATTGAAACGTTTTATTTTTACTAAAGCGTACTTGATATATCGAAAAATTACAAACATACAATTAATTCTTTTTTATTTTCTTTCAATCGTTTTCAGACAATTTTATTTTCCTTGCGATAACAGGAATTGGAGGAAAACACTTTTATTCACAACACGAAAATCAACATCGATGTTCGCACTCGCGAGAATCATTGCGTCATACATATAACTAAGCTTTTAACTTAATGACATGTCGGAAACTTGACGTTCGCGAAGGGAGCCAAACGTTTGCTCAACATACCTGAGGTAAACATAAAGTACCGAAAGATATAAAGTAAGAAAGCCGTTTTTCTTTATTAAAAGGGAACTAAAAGCCAAGCGGATCGTATACAAATGTAACGTATTACGCAAATTGATTAATCCGATCGTGTATTTCATTGTATTTTTATCTATAATGAGTTTTTTTTTGTCAGTGAAAATCCATGTATATACATGCAGTGCAATACGAAAAACAATTATTAGCTTAGAGGATAAACGCGCGCATATCCGGACGATAATACGCAACGATAATGTGGTCTTTTAATATTTCAGAGGGAAAAAGCACATTATTGAAATTATATTGGAGGAGAAGCAAATGCATATCATCTGTGCTGATATTCTTTCGTTAGAAAGATACTCGAAAGATACTCGAAGAAATAAGAGAGGGTTTATTTCATCGCACTTATGACGCCTTTTCTAAGATGCTTTTGCAAACGCTTAAAAGAAAACTTATTTTCTCTCTAAGGAATGAAAGCAAAGAGAGAAGATATATCGGTAAATTTCAAACTTCCTTGAAGAAGGAATTGTCGGCTTAGCGTTCCATCATTGCTTCGTGAACTCCATTTTAATATCCCTTTGAATCACAGCGAATGATTTACAACGCTTTTCCATCTTCCTTCTCGCGCGACCACGAAACTTTGGTAATGATTTATAGATGTACGTAGTATATGAGCTCATCAAAATGCAATAAAATTCTACCGCGATATTAATAGCGTTTTTGTGCCGCGATTAACCTCATTGACCTTTTTTTTCTATCCAGGCTACACGCCCATGATTTATATCTACTGTAGCGAGACAGTTTTTCAACGAGTCTTCCTCTTTTAACTATGTATGACGCTTTTTAACTATGTATGCCGATTCGCATCTACATATAAAACTCGTATTTTGTCTCTCGTGTTTACCATTGTTCATGAAGCGAATCAAGTAGGTTCGCATCGAATACAATTTGACACCGTCGAGAGGAGCTTCCACGATACGCCATAATGTCACCGACAATACCATTTTGTTTAATGATGTCGATATTAGCGGCGGCAAAAAGTACAACAAACGCATACAGAATCGCTGTAGAAAGCCACTCGTCGAGCTCGACGGAGAGAGAAAATTTGAAGATTATCTTGAATTACGTTCAAAGCAAGCAAACATTTTATCCGTCGATATTTTCTCTCGTCTCCTCCGACGTTCGATCCAACTTTGTAGATTTTGTGTCAAAATACGTAGCGAGCGAGTCGATTGTCAGCTACAAGATCACAATGAATGATCTCTCGCGGAGGTATACGTGGCAAAATCGTATCGATCTCACGTGGATTTTCATCGTCGACGATATTAATGTTTTGAAATTTTTCGTGCGCGAACGAAGTTATATATGGAAAACCACCAATCAGTATCTGGTCATCATCACCGCTCCGATCCCACTGGTTTCATCGCGTGAAATTTTTCAGACTATCTGGAAAACTTACAACGTCTACAGAATCGTCTTCGTCTCAATACAAGACGATTTTCGATGTCTAAGCAGATATCTGCCGTTTGAAAGGAATCTGCAGAACGAGTACGGTGCCGTGCGCAAGATCTGTTTAATGAAACAAACAAACAATATCGAGCTTTACACAAACTTTGAAAACCTAAACGGATATCCTATACGCGTAATCGTGTTTGGATCTCTGACGATGAACTTTATGTTCGATAAAGGTACGAGGACATACAAATACAAAGGACTGGATGCGGATGCGATGTTTCTACTGGAGAAATCGATGGGGGCTCAGTTTCGCATCAACGTGTTTTCAACCAATTTTACTAAAGGGAAAATAGACCCTTTTCATCGTAGTCTTCAATACATCGAGGACGGCAAATCGGACATAATCATAAACGGTTTCTTTATCTATGACTATCAGAAATATCGAAGTTACGAGTTTACAGCCAGCGTATACGAGGACAAGATGTGCTTGATCGCGCCCACAACCGGTTTTATCCCTAAATCATACATGCCGATAATGCCGTTCGCGCCCGATTTATGGACGGCCCTTGCGATATACAACATTCTTGTGTCCATCTTGTGGTTTCTTATCAAGTATTATAGCGGATCGTTTCGTCGGCAGGAAACCGTTCTTCTTCCTTTAATGAGAACGGAATTTGTTCTTCCACGACAATCAAGTTTACCGCCAAGGATACACCCTTATGTCTCATCGTGTTTCGACCTCGTCGAAACCTCGTGTTATCCGTTGAAGGAGGACGGCGGTTCGGGTAGCACGACCGCTCAGCGAGTTTTCTTGCTCGGCACCCTCTTTTTCGGACTCATCGTCGTCGGTCTCTACCAAAGCTACCTCGTATCCGTCTTGAGCAATCCTTTCCATTATCCGGAGCTGAACACTCTGGAGGATGTCGCCAACTCGAATCTCACCTTAGCTACCAAATATTACAACTTGAAAGAGCATGCGTTCACGGAGAATACTACTCTGGCTAAGAAATTACGCAGTAAAATCAAGGTGATAGTTTCCGACAAACCGACGATCGACATGGTGGCTTTCGGCAAGAATAAGGTAATCGCCATCACACGTTACACTTCGCTTAAAATAGACGATTTGTCCCAGTACTACGATGCGGACGGCAACGAATTGCTTCATCTAGTCGAGGAATGTCCTAGTACTTACTCATTGTCTTATGTAATAAGATTGCATTCACCGTACCGAGAGAGAATCAACGGGTTACTGTTACGAATGCAGGAAGCGGGCCTCATTAATCTATGGTATGAAAATATGGCATATCCGACATACGTAGCTGAGCAGAAAAGAAAGGTGGAGAAGAGTGAGAGAAGAATGAAATTGACCATGAAGCATTACTCTCTTACATTCGTCGGACTTTCAGTTGGTTTACTTTTCTGCGTCGTTGTATTCCTCGCGGAATTGTATTTTGCCAAGAAATCGCAATCGCACACAAGAGCGGAGACAGTTCTTAAGCTAATATCGAAAAATTGATTCCTCTCTGTATTATCCGCTGTCTATTTACATTAGTATTATATTAAAGATGTGAGACACATAACAAAATCATTGAAATTTAAGATCAGTACATACGTTTTAAATTCGTATTGTCTGAAATATTGAATAAATCAATATGGATTATGCAGAGAATTAAACTATTGTATAATTTTCAGATTTTGCAGATATTCAGAAAAAAAAAACGATGAAACAATATACGAATTTTTTACGTTTTATAATATGAAATTATTTTATACAAAATCTTTTCTTTAAAATTTTAGCACGTTTCTCATACAACCTCTTAACATATAAAGCTCGCGATATTAAGTTCTTTTATTCTTGACGAGTTTTTTTCGCAAATATTTTCACCTATGTTTATATTTAAACCTTATACAAACAGTTTGGAGCCCTATTTTAATTATAGAAGACTTTATATCTGATAAAAAATAGCCTAATTATATACGCTCTCGCGTGACGATATTATACTTGTGGTACGCAATGATTCGATCAACAGCTGTTTTATTCGTAGCAGTCTCAAGTTTGATTAATCGAGCATAATACATATATGAACTACATGTCCCTTTATTATCGATCCTGGCGAAAAGGATACTTTTTATTCGCGAATATAATTGTTCGAACTAACGAGACGATCATGCAAAACAAGTTAGCATTAAAGCGACATTCCGAAAACGAGATTTATTTTAAGAATCTCCAAAAATACGCACACGCGCCTCTCTCTCTCTTGAGGAAACTCAGTCGTAGGTCGTTGCTCGATTATAGAGTCATGGCTTCTCGGAGATATGTACCATTGGCAGCGATCCTAATTATCTGTTTAGGTACGTACTCGCGAATTATATTTGATCACGTCGATATAAAATTAGGGGATATAAATATATGTTTCTTTCACATATAGCTATATCATCCATTTTTGTCGCGGCTGCCGCCACCATCGCACGGGATCCGAAAATATCTAGGTGACTACTATCATTTTCAATGCGCTAGCGATAGTCTTCCCGCGAGAATTTGTTTTTAAAGATTTATAGATATAATTGCATTGAAAGCACAAATATTGCTATTTTTTCTATCGTGTGTTGCGTTGCACGATAGGCATGACAGTTACAACTTGGATAAGGGACCGGTATTCTACGAGGCGTACTATCCAGATTATGCCCATGATGCTTATCAGGAAAAACGCAACTTGGATCAAAATCGGAAAGTGCTGGAAACGAGTTTTCAGGTGCCGTTCGAGCGTTTCGCATACTCGGCTGAAGTCGCGGATCGCCCTGCCTCGGTAATCTTCGATAACAATAAAAATGTGAATATTGATGAAATTTCCAAGCTCGTTAGAAGAGCCATTTCTCTGGATCTGGAAAACTGGAACATTCTTGAAAGATATTTGGACCGCGTATCTATCGATCAAAATTTGCCGATGCAGCAGACGGTGTATTCTAGAGAGAACCGCGAAAATAAGGAAGATAATAGTTATCCGTTTCAAGATAATCGTCGACGATCTTTCAATCTGTCGAGACAGCCAAATCTCGAGATATTACGAAAATTGGAAACACGAGATGTAAAACAGCGTCCTAGTTATTTCGAGGAAATTGACGCGGAGGAAACAATAACAAAGAAAATAAGCGACATGGAAGCTGCCGATGCGCCATCGATCGACATTGCTTCTGGTTCATTACTTCCAGAGAACATTTTTCAACCACGACCCCAAATAATTAGATACACCTTCTTCAAAAAACCTACGTCGCGCCTTGATCAACAAGCCGAGAAAGTAATAGACAATTCTACGCCAAGGAATTATGGCGACAATCTTATACGCCAAGAGATCGCTGAAAACAACAGCCAAGTAGAAGGAAATAACGTCAAAGTAACGTCTATCGAAGTAAGTGAATTGCCGCGACATAAAACGCGTCATCATCACGGTGAATGGCCTAAACGAGATTATTCTACTCATCGTCGTCAGTCAGAGGAAAAAAAAAAAAGTAAAGATGCTTGAATAAAAAATTTTTCGAACGAAGAAAAAGTAAATTAATAAATAAAATTGCTTCCGTGCGCGATAATAATGATATTAATTGTTGTGATGGATTATATTTATACCGTTTCCGCTGTATTACATTACCGCGAATAATATTGACAAATTGTGCTATCTCAAACTATTTATTGAATATATATACCATTGAGAGAATATATACATGCGTAACATCATATATTTTCTGTAATAGCGTATCTACAATAAAATGTGTTTTCCGCGACTTATTTCTATGTCAATCGCACTAATACATCGGTTAACGTTAGTTGTAAGTAAAGAAATTTTTTTCTTTATTTATAACATGTTATTTTAAAACGCAGGAGCAAATTTAGTTTGTTAATGTAATTCGGCTTAATATTCTATCATTATTTTTCTATGCTATAATCAGGAGCTAATGAATATTTTACGTATTATATCGATTTTAAATCGAACACAACTATAAACTATCAAACTTTATAAACTATTAGTTTTCAAACTGCACACGTACAGTAAAACAAGCATGCAGTTTTACCTAATTTGAGAAAAATATTTTTTCTTTACAACTTTGTAATAAAAATATAAATAATTATTTATGACCGCAAATGCAGATTTTATAGGAATGTTTACATATCCTTTTTATAATCTTAATTCTAAGTACTTGGCATGATCATATGATACTGTCATGATATAAAACAGAAGTGACTATATTATGATTGTATGATATTTTTATCACGAAGATAAGTACGAAATCGCAAGTATATTTTACAGATAGCCTACTCTATTGGAACACAACCTTTTTTGGTGAATAGTCTCAGTTAGCTACAGCTAAAATTCTACGTTTATCTCTTTAAATTACTTTTTGAATATTAAGCTAAAATTCTATTTTGAAAATGTTTCTCTTACTTCTATAAAAAAGTGGATCTTTTATTTTTAATGAAGAGAAATCAGCAATATATTCAGTGTGATATTGCACCAATATTAGAATGGAACTCTTTCATAATTTGCTTTATAATTACCAGATTAAATTTACTATAACAAAAATACGCGATGCAGCAACTATTGCAATTAAAAATTTCGGTAATTTAAAATATGGCAAATATAGATATGCGAACGTGAAGATACAATATAGAGTACATTACATAAGTTCACATTAGCTCTAGTTTTGACTCATAAATCACATTCATATTTTAATTATACTGATTAAATGTATTTAAAATAATAATTTCTAAGCATTTCGTCAAGATATAATTTAAATTTATTTGCTGTGTCCAGATATATGAATAATCCTATGATCCATTATATATCAGTTCTTCATTATATATCACTTCAGACTAACTCGTTTCGACTGAAAATATTTTTATAAAAAATCAATTATTATATGTATCATCATATTTGTGATTATGATGTAGATTTTTATAATAAAAATACTTGTGTGATATACAGGATGTCCTACTAAAAGTATAACACACAGTAGAAAGATTAATATCATCCACTAAAAACAAAACAGTATATTTTATTCACCTGTTTTGCATTGTAGATTAAAATTAGCCAATATAAAGTTGCGTAAATTCTCATAAGTATTTTCCAAATTATCATTTTCTATGATAATGTCAAAGTTACCTGGTGTTTCACCTGTAAATATAAATATTTATTATGCAGATTTAAAGAGAGAGAGAAAGAGTATATGTGTGATATATATGATCTACAAGCATAATTTTTCTAAAACGCACGCGCGCCCGCATACATAGAACATACCATATTCTAGTTCAGTTTTGGCAATTGTTAATCTGCGTTGTAACGATTCTTCGGTTTCTGTATTCCTAGCTTTCAATCGCCGTTCTAACTCCAAGACAGATGGCGGTTTTATGAATATATAAAGGGGATTAAGATGGGTGCATTTTATTTGTTTTACACCCTGTATATCAATGTCTAATACACATATCTTTCCTAGACGTTGTACTTCTTCAACTGCTTGTTTGCTACAAAGGCATTTGGATTGTATTATTTCAACATACCCTTCTATATTATATTTACATCTGTATACTTTTTCCTACCTCGTGCCATATAGATTTCCACTAAATGTAGCAGATTCAATAAACTCGCCATTCTTGATTTGTTCTTGCATTTTCTCTTTATTTGTAAAATGATAGTGCGTCCCATCTTCTTCGCCAGGTCGAGGCATTCTAGTCGTATGAGATACCGAAAATTTGAAGGTATCAGGAAATTCATCAAACAATCGCTTTATCAAAGTGCTTTTTCCAGAACCCGAAGGGCCGCATAATACTAATGGACGTGGTCCTTTGTGAATCATATTGACGCAGCCTAAAAATATAATATTTTTCTTAATTCTATACTCTTTCTTCTCTCTCTTCTTCTCACTCTTCTTCTCACTCTTTTTCAGAATAATTAGATTTTTAAATAATTAAGTTAGTTAATTTTTCTAACGCATGTTACTTTTGTCAAATCATTTAAATTTCTTGCATTATATATGAACAAAACTATAAATTCCGCATACCTATCTTAAATATCCTAAACCACTGTGTGAACATTGCAATTAAAAAGACGCCAATGGTCCAATACCAGTTATCTCAAAATTCTGATTCTGCATAATTCAATATCAATCAAGAACTAAGCGTGAATACAACAAACGTATAATATTCCCTAATATATATATGTATATAGACTAATTACACACATAAGATTACAAAACTTTTGTTTTTTTCATAAGATTTAATTAGAAAAAAGAAGAAATTAGAAGAAATTAGAAGAAATTAGAAATATATATAAAAGCGCAAACATTTTTAACAATAGTACCTATTCCCCTCCTTAATAATTATATAAAATTGCATGAAATAAAATATTTCTAGACTTTATATTACAAGTGACAAATTATAACTAATTGCTAAAAAAAAATATGAAATAAATAAACTCTAATGACATGTATAATATATTTTTATGCTTGGTATATTGAATGCATATGGTGAGATTTCAAAAGATCATGGGTATATGATGTGTATGGTCAATCAATCATTAATTTAATTTAAAAACTATGACAAATAGATAAATAGTTTAATTAAAATTATCACTTTACATTGTAGTAAAATAAGATGAAAAAGTGCAATTCTGTTTGTTTTAATATATCATCTATAATAAAACAAAATTTTAATTAAAATAAATTGTTGCATGCGATCAAATCGTCTCTAAAATGATTGTTTCGCATTATATTTTAATCAACGCTGTGAAGAAGCAATTCGCGCATTTTCCCCCGCTTTGATTTCAAAAATCTTACCTATAATAACAGACAAAGAAGACTGAGTTAACCAAATTATCCAATAATTAATCGACGTAGTTTCACAATAATTAACACTGCTTAATAAACCAACGAGAAACAATTATTTACTATTCTCTATAAGTAACAAACGACCGCACAGTTATAAAACAAACTACAAGCGATATCACACGATTGCACGATAAAATGTAATGCCAATACCAGGCCGGCAGACATCAGTAAATACAAGATACAAGATACAATCATACGCGTACTACATTTGTATATATGTACCATAGACATATAAAATACATAGATGGAGCACTACTAGCTGCCGATTGATGCGTAATATTCCGAGTCACCCTGAATTGTCCGATGCACAACCGAAATTGTTGGTTCATTCCTTCCTGCAATCTATTCCCAGAATAGGCTCCGTCTCTATGTATTTTATATATCTATGGTATATGTACAAAAAAAAATCTAATAAAAATAAAAATAAAAAAAAGACTGCCCCAAAAATATATGATTCTTTTATTTCTTTACAGTACTAATATATATAAATATATAACCATTGTGCAATTTATACAAGTTTAAATTTATTTAACAAATTATTAGCTAAATATTACAATTAAACAATGATTAAATAATTTTATCTTATTTTGCGCGATTTCGCAATCACATCTTTTTTTAGAACTCGTGTCCATAAAAACACTGGGATTTTCAGAAACTTTTTTAAAATTACAAGTCATAAGCTTAGGCGGAAATATATAAGACACTTATTCGGTATACATGTAGTTAAAAAATTAATTTGACCCAACTACATTGCACAGGTAAAATTTTACACATAATACATCAAAATACTTTAAATATTGTTAAGTATTTATGGATTATTTGAGAATTATAAATGATTATTATTTCAACATGATTACTTCAACATCTTCATGCTATATCTATGGTGATATGGTAATCAAATAAAAAAAAAGATTCAGACATAATTATATAAGAAAGTACATATTTTTTCTGACCGCTATTGTCACGATCGTTTGCACTTTCCTGAGCCATGGCAACATGTGACAAATATAGGCGTGTATATATATATAATATATATAAGTATATATTAAACACAATATATGGAATATTATAAATAAATATCACATTCGGTTCTCTGTCATAAACATCCTTCGTATACTCTCCATATTAATGATATTGAGAGATTAATCACAATATCAACAATTTAAACTATTTTCAATATTTTAAATCGCTTGTACTTTAAACAACTTTGTTATTCTATGTATCTCTCCATCTTGAGTAAATGTTGAATTTAAAGGTTGAATCTGTCATATACAAGAGATTGAGTTTAAACTTGAGTGGGTCCAGCAGTTTTGCCTTGTGTTCTACGACGTGCTAATTCGGACATAACCACAGGACCAATATGCGGTGATCTTGGACTACTTGCCATTGCTCTATAAGTCGCTGCTACTGCAATCTTAGAAATAAGATTTATTGTAAAATATAGATTGTAGATCTGTATAGATTCGTCAGAAATTTTATGTAGAAATAATGTAACACATATATACAGTTATGTATCTATTATTAATGATGACACATTTAATGGTTTGAGAAAGATTAACAAAATCAAAATGTTTATAATAAAAGTGATAGGTATATTCGTATTTCAACATACCTTCAAACTATGTGGATCCTTAATAACGTCTGGTAATACTTTTTGAGGTATACGGTGTCGATTTATAATCCATGGATATTTTAAAATAAAAGCTGCCGTAGGCCTTCGATTGGGATCTACATGCAACATTCTCTTAACTAGCTCTTTAGCTTCGTTCGAAATATGGCACCATATTCCGCTTTCCACATCTATATATCCTGGACCAATCCGGTCTAATATATCGCTCGCGCTGTCTCCCGGGCTATTACGGAAAGGCGTGTACCTGCGTGTTGCACGATAAAATTATATCGTTTCCGATCAACTACATATAATAAGTAATGACTTTTATAGTAATTTTTTTCCCATTACCCTGCTAACATAATGTATAATAGAACTCCAAGTGACCAAATGTCACATGCTGCATCATATCCTTGGCGTTTCAGCACTTCGGGCGCTACAAAGTTTGCGGTATAACAAGGCGTCATTAATAAACCGTTTTCCGCTCGTAATTGTTTCGCAAAGCCGAAATCACATATACAAAGTGTTGTTGGATCACCACCAGTTTTTGCATATAGAATATTCGATGGCTTCAAATCTCTATGAACGACCTGTTTTTTTTGTTCTTTCTTTTAATGCAATAATAATGTATCGTTTCATCTTATATACAGATGTGCATATCAATTAATATATATATTATATATATATAATTGTTTATTAAAACTCGTATTTTGAAGATTACAACTTACTCCGTTTTCGTGAAGATAATGCACCACAGTTGTAATAGTGTGAATGACTTCGGCGGCTTCTCGTTCGGTAAAGTTTCGTCTCTGTAGCAAACGATCAAGAAGTTCACCACCGCGCAGAAGTTCCAATACGAGATATACTCGTTTGTCGTCTTCGTGAACAGCTTTCAATGTTACGATATGAGGATGTCTACCATATCGTAATAAAATTTCTATCTCTTCCGTCGGATCTCGTTTTGATTTTTCAATCACCTATTTTATTCAGTTTTATTTAATTATACTTTTTTTATTTCCTGTGTAATTTTAGAGAAATGCATTTCATTTCAACTTTGCACAAGATATTACCTTCACAGCATACTCCATTTTGGATGCTATATGGACAGCTAAGTAAACCACGCTGTAGCTTCCTTTGCCAATCTCGTGTTTGAATTCGTATTCATCAGTTATAGAAACGGAATTAACATAAGATGGAAAACTAACGCTGATGCTATCGTAGTTTTTGCTTTCCGAAAGTTTAGCATGATCCACATCTGTAAGCAAACAGGGTGCAACAAAACTAAATCCGCGAAATAGTTCGTGAGCAGTTGCGCTAGGTGGTACCCCTGGAGAATCTGAAAAAATGAAAGAATTTTCTTCGCAAGGATATCAGAACCCATATTTAATTATTATTAATTTGAGTTTACTCCACTGTTCTTCCTTTTTCTTCTGTTTTTAAGAAGGAGATCGGTCACCTTTAGGTGTTTTACAGGTGAATTCATTATCGAAGTAAAATGCATCATCTTCCCTAACAGCTGGTTTAAATGGCGGTCTTATCTCTTTCTTGTAAAGAGCATCCCAATCAATAGTAGCAAAGAAAATATGGCCTTTAATTTCTTCCACTCCACCTAGAAATAGAAAGATTTATATAAAAGCTATCCTACATACATATATGTTATTCAAAGCTAGAAGTTATTTTCTTATACAAAATATTAAAATAACAGATTTTTTACATTACCAGAACCAAGACGGTTCACTGGATTCCTCTTAAACAATACTCTCAAAAGTGCTTGTGCTTCTGGTGAAAGATTATGTGGCATTCCGAGTTTAGCTTTCAAGATTTGCGTCATTGTTTCTTTACGGTTTGCACCTTGGAATGGAAGAGCACCTGTCAGCATTTCAAACTGAAAATATTGAAGTGTCATGTAATACAAGTGTCTTTAATCTCTTTTAATATCCAGTTCTCATCACTTGCATCAATCGCCAAATGGCATATATAAAAAATCTAACCATTAGAACACCAAAACTCCACCAATCTGATGTAAAAGTATGCCCTTTTCTGTTAACAATTTCTGGCGCCATATATTCAACAGTGCCACAAAACGAATATGCTTTTGAATCATCCAAAGGTTGTTTGCTTAAGCCAAAATCTGTCAAAGATATGTGGCCTTCTGTATCCAACAAAATACTATTGTATAAAAAAAGAGAAAATTAATCAAACGCACTAATAATGAACATCTATATTAAAGAGACATATACAAATCGCAGTATACCGCGAACGAATACAAACTTTTCGGGCTTGAGATCTCGATAAATAATTCCGAGTTTATGTATATGATCCAGAGCGAGTGCTAGTTCGGCCAAATAAAACTTAACATCATCTTCGGTAAACATTACCTGAAACAATAATTAAATTCATAATTATGAATATACATATTATTTCTTATCAAGACAATTATTGCATTTTTTCGTAATATAAAATACTTTTGATTTTTTTTATCAGAACAAGGCAATGATATATTTAGTTATTAACAATTACCTCTTTGGATAATCTGGAAAAGAGATCACCCCCCCTTAAAAAATCTAGAATTAAATAGAGTTTTCCTTCTGTTTGAAATGCATAGTGCAATCGGACAATAAATGGATGTTCCACATCGACCAATATATTTCTTTCCATTTTAGTTCTAACTCTATCACGAACTGGAAAAGAAGACAAATGCATAATGAAATAATTATAATAATCAATATTTGCCAATATTTAATAGTATCTTCAAGTACCTTTTAATGTTGCCTTTTTTAAGACTTTCATAGCATATAGTGTACCACTGTCTTTTCCAGTAATCTTTCTTACTAAAAATACCTATAAATAATTAAAAATTAAATCAAATTATATATATATGCAAAGTAATCGTTGCAATTATTGCAAAAATATTTAAATATATATTAACACATACACACACACGTTATTCTTACCTTGCCAAAGGAACCTTGACCGAGAACTTTCAATAGTTCAAAGTGAGAAGGTTCGGCTTTCTCGTAACCCTCCCGTACCATATCACGTACTTCAATCTCATGAGACTCTGAGCAACCATTTGATCTTTCAATTAAATTTCCTTGAGTAATCATTGTTTCTTCCTGATTTTCGGCTGGAAGAATCTCCGTACTTTGCTAAAGAGCAACAAGTACGAAATAAAAGTATATTATAAAATGTGTATTAAATATTGAAATAAAGTAGAGGAATATGTTTAAAAAGGAAAGGTAAAACTTTTCAAATCCCATACGTCAGAAAAAGTTATATCAAAAAGAAAGATTAATCAATTTTACCTTCTCATTTACGCGGTGCTCGGTCCAAGGAGCCGTTAGAGTTGCCAACGGCATTATATCTGAAGTTCCGTTTATTTTTTCGGAATTGTACACACAAAGGTTTTTGTAAAATACTTATTATTTCGTAACGCTGTTACTAAGATATACAGGTGTTTAGTTTATTTGACAAAGATAACTTCATTAGTTATAATTGGCATTTGATATCAACTCATAGCAAGAATTCGCGGTTAACTACTAACCACCATTAACGCACATGTACACACACCATATAGAAATATATATACATATATTCAACTAAATATATACATAGCGGTATGGATCGATG